TTATAAACTAAAACACGTCTAGCATCTGCAGAAAATATATAAAAACGTGGATTAGAAGACGATGTAGACGATGTAGAGAATGCAGACGAGGTGGTAGATAAATTTGTAATTGGAGTTGTCGACGATCAAGTCTAGAGAAAGTTACTAGGCACTACAAGTCGGACAATCCTGGTTGTTGTCGATTGATAACACTCGTTTAGTTATACTGTAATAGTTATTTTGTAATAATTATATTTTATGATAATATAACAAGAGTTAGAGGTTTATATTGTTACGAATATTGTTTATGATATATAAACAGAAAGAAGATTAGATGCAGAGAGAGAGAGAGAGAGAGATATGGATAGTTAAAGTAGAGAGAGATATATGGATAATTAAAGAAAAGAGCAAAGAGAAAAAGAGAGAGGAGATATATGGATAGTTAACGTGTTACGAAGGTGGGTTACTCAAGCGGAACGCTTGACTAATTCAAGTTTATTGAACCATATAGACGTGTAGCATAGACGCTAGCGTACCAAAACAATTTGTTTATGAACCGAAACGCGTCTAGCGTTTAAACAAAACGTATAAAAACGTCAGTTAACAAACGTTCGTAGTTCTTGATCCAGTTCTTGATCCAGTTCTTGATCCAGTTCTTGATCCAGTTCTTGATCCAGTTCTTGATCCAGTTCTTGATCCAGTTCTTGATCCAGTTCTTGATCCAGTTCTTGATCCGGATTGATTGGGTTCTTGATTTGTGTTCTTGATTTGTGGTTCTTAGTTCTGAGTTCGTTGTCCGAGGTAAGTGGTTGAAAGAGTCGAAGAAGCGATTGAAGTTGTTGAGGAGCCGAAGATAATAAAAAGATACCAGAAGATATAGTAAAACAAGTTGTATTATATTTATACGGTTTTATATAATATATCGGGACAATTGAAACTAGTATTTATATTTGTTATAAGTTGATACGAAGTGTTGTTTGGATTATCAGTAACTCGTAACATTTATTTATGCGTATTATCTAAAGCGTAGTAACTAAAGGACCATACGTAACATTTGGAGGCACTGCCCGGATACGAGTGGATTCCATCTCTGCTCGGGCCGATCAATTAAAAACTGTGTAAGAAAACATTAACTTTTGTTTATTTTATTATTTGTTTTACTTGCATTCGAACGAAGATATTATTTTAAACTGTAATAACTTTGCTGTATATATATATATGACCCGTTTACGCTCGGGAAAAATATGTCCGTTTGTTGAACCAACACATCGTTTGATTGCTGGCAATAATTCTCATACCTCGCTTAACAACTCCGACTCCGCCGATTCCTTAGAGCTATCCGATACCAATCCGTTTAAAACACAGAATAGCCGTTCTCATGATTAGAAGAACAATATGTCGCTTGAGCAAATATTAGAAAGATTAACATTGAAGCCTACTCAAGAAATACATCCAAAAATATTTAAAGGTACAGAAACAGAAGATGTTACCGAATGGTTAGCCAGTTTTGGACGCATTGCCCAACATAACCAATGGACCGAGATGAGAAAACTACTTGCGTTCTCGTTATACTTGGAAGGTAGTGCGTTGGTTTATTACGAAACCCTTCCCGCGCACATTAGGAACGATTTTAATCAAATTCAAGAACATTTTCGTCAGTATTATAATAATGCAAACATCGCATGGAACCGTAAGATGGAGTTATTCGGCCTATTACAGGATGCTGATCTTGCTTCCTATATTACCACGCTAGATAAATTAAGTCAGCAGCTTGGGGTTGATGATGAGACTAAGCTGAATTTGTTTATCAAGGGACTGAAGCCACATTTAAGGAATGCTCTAAAACTCAAGCAACCGGTGGATTATCAGGCTGCAGTAGCTTTCGCAAAACTACAGGACACCGTTGGATCAGACTCGTCTGGAAGCCAAGTTAGATGCCCTACTAAATTCCCCTCAACATATTGCAGCTGCCACCTACCGAGAGCATCCTATCCTAAATCAGCGGATTGGTGAATTACAGACGGAAATTACCTCATTAAGGCGGAACAACAACCGTCCTAGCCAACATGAAAGATTCCGGCCAAACGGACGTAATCTCCGTACGTAATCTCCTTATTCTTATGGACACAGGTGCTAGGTGCAGTGTATTAGACGAAAGCATCTTCGAAAATTTTAGGAATCAAGTTAACAGACCACTTCCCTACTATGGTACCCTAAGAACCGCAAATGGAGCGCCACTTCATGTCCTTGGAAAAACCGCGTGCCCCATTAATATTGGAGGATATATATTTGAGCATGAAATGCTTATCGCTAAAAATTTGACTCATCCAGCGATTTTAGGCTACGACTTCATGAGCCAGTTTAACGTCAAATTGGACTGCGGGAATTATCGATTTACTTTCGAGGGAATGTTTGATATAGGAATGATAAGCAAAACCATCGACAACAAATTCTCCACTGGAATAATTGTGGATGATACACCAATCCGTCGTATACCGCAAATTGATAAGTTCGATGTCAAGTGGTTGCCTGCGCCTGAACCGTTGCTAAAAGTAAATCCGCTTATTAACCAACCCACGAATGCCCAGTTTGAGTGTAAAATACAAAGAGAAAATCTGACGCCGAAGTCCGATGCGCCACGTACACCGGATGAAGCTAAAGAGTTCCAGCCGCTACTCAGCAACCGCCGCCCATATCCTGCAGTCAGCATAGACTATCAAGATAGATTCAACAACACCAAACCTAATTCAAATCTCGTAGACCTTTCTATAACTCCGATATGCATAACAAAGGAAATAAAGGCTGTTCCCAAGTGTGAAACCATTCTCACTATAGCACACGCTTTAAAAACTAAAGGTGACTGTTTATTTATACCAGAGACAAATCTGTTCGAGGATCAAAATGTCCATGTTTTTCCAACCATAACCCATGGTGTATCTAATCAAGTCAAGCTGCATGTCGTTAACCTCTCATCGGATTATGTAACTATTGGTAAAAATAAAGTAATTGGGGTTGCAATTTCATTATACCAAAATCTCGGAAGAGTATAACGCTAGGTTGCCGGACGGCTTGATAGACTTGTTGGAATCAAAGACTAACGCCACTGCGTTGAATCAAGAAGAACGCCTCCAGCTGTTGACCTTACTAAAGTATAACCAAGATGTTTTTGGTCAAGGTTTGCACAACATTGGGCAAACTGATGTAATATAGCACTGTATTGACACGGGCAATGCTCAGCCGATTAAACAAAGACCTTACCGTCTTGCGGAAGCTCAGAGAAAATCACTGGACAAGCACGTTGAGGAGATGCTAGCAAATGATATCATTGAACCAAGTGTCAGTCCTTGGTCTAGTCCGGTAGTAATAGTACCGAAGAAATATGGGAATTTCACGGTGTGTATTGATTATAGGAAACTAAACAACGTAACAAAAAAGGATACCTATCCACTCCCACGAATAGATGAAAGTCTCGACATGCTACACGCGGCGAAATATTTTTCTTCACTAGATCTTCTCAGCGGATATTATCAGGTGCGGCTCGACGACGAATCTAAAGAGAAAACCGCATTTACATCGCATAAAGGATTGTATCAGTTTAAAGTTCTTCCCTTTGGTCTGTCGAATGCACCATCAACATTTCAACGAATGATGAACTACATACTCCGTGACCATTTATACAAACATTGCATGCTTTATTTAGGCGATATCTTGATATATTCAAAAACGTATAAAGAACACCTCGAACATATACTGATGGTAACTGAAGCCGTTAGACAAGCTAGTTTAAAATTAAACCTACTGAAATGCACTTTTTGCACAACTGAAGTGAAATTCTTAGGACATTATATTAATGACCCTGACCCTGACCAGACCCTGAAAAAATTAAAAATTTTTAAAAACACAATTAACAAATACAAATTTTCAAGCAATTTTCTCTTCCAATTCTCATTTATTTAAAGAAAATTAAGCTATTAAACTTTTATTTCTCCCATCTAAAAAAAGAACAAGTGACGCAAAAAAAATATATATTTTTTACAACTCTTATTCATTCAAAGTTTAATTGCGCGAAACTTTTCTTTCTCTTTTGTTCTACTCTTTTATAAAAAGAACGCCCGATGAAATAAAAACTTTTACTTTTTAATATATAATTATAGTTTGAGATAAAATTAAATTAGAAATAAATCAACAATGAGCAAAGCAACGAACAGATTAATCTGGAACTATTTTGATATTTATGAAAATAATCAAAATAAACAACATGACCAACAACAGTTATCAAATAAATAACACAATCTCGCATAATTTTAGAGGCATTTTATTTTTATTGCTTAGTCGTTCTAAATAATAAGTAAATTTAGTTCAAGTTAATAATTCAATATTTACAGTTGCAATATAATAAAGAAATGGTGTTTAATACTGAACTTTTTATTTAGTTATTTATTTTTTTGCCTACATTTGTTATAAAAAACTTTAGAACCCCCGTCATTAAAATAATTTGTTTTAAATATATTTCGACGTGATTATTCAAACTAATTTTTTTCGTTTGACTTTCCGAACTTCATGCGAAGCAAATTGAAACGAAATATCGTCTAACCAAATAAAAAAGCTGTTACTAATTTTATACGGGTAATTAATGTAAAACAATTTTTGAGATAATAAATATTCATAATTTATAAACGTTAAATATATGGCGCAATAACAATTTATAGCAACGAACCAGCATAAAATATTTAAGGATTTTAATATCTTTTTAAATATTAATAGTAGAAAAAAAAAAACTAAACAAATAATCAAAAAAATTTCGACTAAAAATAAATAAAAATATTTCCAGAGTTTCTTTTGTTAAAAGTCTACCGTGACGTCAAATACTAAAACTTTTATGAATTAAACGCGCTTCAAAGGAATTGCCAAAGTCTGTAGATTGCGACGCATAATTTGAAGACTCCGAGTAGTTGAAAAAAATGGAGAAGACGAGCTTCGGCAAAAACAACAACATTTGTTTTTCACGGTATGCATTCATTATTTATTTTTAATCAAAAAAATTTGGTTCAAACCTTTTTTTTTAACATTATCTTTAATATGAACACAACATGTGTTGGGAGTTTGGGATCCCTTTAAAAGAAGCAAAGAAAGTGTTGGCATTAGAGGGTAACCACTACTTAGATGAGAATGGTTTACTATTCCATCATGAATCAAAAACCTCAAGAAGCCTTACTCAGCTAGTTGTACCACAATCTTTAAGAAATGAGTTAATAACCTGGGCCCACGACGAACCATGTGGAGGACACTTCGGGGTGACAAAAACCTACGAGAAAATTAGGACTAATTACTATTGGATTGGTATGTATAACGACATACAAACCTAGGTAAAGTCATGTACCACTTGCGCTCAACGAAAACAAAACCCGACTACTAGCAAAGCACCTCTACTACCAATTCCTGTCGAAGGACCATGGGACGTCATTGCAGCCGATTGTTTGGGACCTTTCCCTCCTTCTTTAAAAGGAAACCGCTATATAGTTGTGTTTGGTTGCTTATTTACAAAGTATGTGGAGGCTTTTGCGGTCCCCACCATTGCAGCATCGTCTATTGCAAAGATATTTGTAGACAACATTGTGTTCAAGCATGGAGCACCAAGGCGATTTCTAACCGATAGAGGTAGTAATTTTACGAGCAAACTTGTAAAAGAAGTATGCGAAATATTAAATGTAAAGAAGTCTTTTACAACCGCTTATCACCCCCAAACTGACGGTTTTGTGGAACGCATTAATGGGATTTTGGCTCAAAGTCTTTCCATGTATGTTGCCTCTAACCAACGAGATTGGGATGTCCATCTTCCAGCTGCTGTATATGCATATAATACCAGTATATCTGCTAGTACTGGAGAAACTCCTTTTAGGTAACATATGGTAGAGATACTTTACTACCCCACGGCACTACACTGCTGCCGAGAAAAGACCCCACGGACAACACCGAGTTACTCATTCAACGACTCATATCCGACCTACGATTGTCACGTAAACTGGCAAAAGAAAATATTCAGAAGGCTCAAGCGAAGATGAAGTTACACTATGATCAAAAAGCTAAAGAATACCCGTTTCAAGTGGGACATAAAGTATGGATATATAAGCCAGCTGCAAAGAAAGGCTTAGCGAAAAAACTTACCAGCTTCTGGCACGGTCCATTTCGGCTAATTGAAAAGACGTCTCCCGTAACTTTCAAGGTGGAGAATATGAACTTACTACTCCTGTTCATGTGTCCCGTTTCAAGCAATGGTTTGGTTCAGAAGATAAACCCACAACAGATATAACATTGGACATCGAAGTTCTCAATGAAGCTAGAGAAACAAGCGATGAGTTTAGTTTTGAAGAAACTAACCAGAGGGTAAACAAACAAGCAACATTTTCAACCGTTAGAAATGAAACAGATGAAATACACGATTTGTCGGAAAACCAAACTGATGATACGGATATATTCACAATGGAAGAAATCGTTGATAAAAGGCTTAGAAAAGGTAAAACCCAATATTTAGTAAAGTGGAAGGATTACCCTTCAAGTCAAAATACATGGGAGCCGGAAGAACATATTTTTGATAAAAAAGTAATACAAAAATATCTAGAGAAGAAAAATAAGAGTTTACAAGTTTCCGCAATTACAATGGTATATCCGAAAAGTCCACAGTATAAAGAAAAGACCAAAAAAAAGATGTTATCAAATACATTTTTTCATAGAAATAAGTTATGGAATACAATGGTTCCTGTTGTTCTCTTATGCTCACTTCTTTTACCCACGCTAGTAAAAGGTATATATATTGGCGAAGTTTTTGACTGCACAAGAGTACAACCAATAGGAATTTACCAGCTACCGACGATCACTTCTTGTACCCATAATATGCACTCCTCAAATGAATCCGTAAAATCATTCACAGCCAACGTCTATGCCTACCGTCCTCAAACGACAACAATACCTTTGTATCATTGCTTTGCTGAAAAAGTCACCCTTAAGTGTCACTCCAATTTCCTCAATCAAAAGGCTAAAGATGTTGAGTCCCAAAAACTAACGGTAAAAGCTGGAGAGTGTCTCACGGCTATGAAAACTAAAATATTGCCTTACGGAGCACTTCAAGAAGTTTGCCCAGGTACATGGAAAACTGTCATCTCGGACGAATTTCATTGTGCATGGATGCGAACAGAGACAACAGAGTATACACATTTCGTGATGAATAAGCATGATGGACAAGTTACAGGACGAGCTGTAGCACTAGAACAGTATATCACAAAATATTCTATGCGCAGGTGTGTTCCTGGTGAGTGGGCACAATCAATAATAGTATGGAGTTCAAATAACCACGATAAAGAAGTCATGAAGAAATTAGGCACATATCCTATTGAACGTATAGGAGATTTTGTTTTAATTAGAAGTCTAAAAGTTGGCGGCGCAGTCCAACTATCACAACAAGAAGGTCAGGTACTTACTCTAGACAATGGTATGCTTTTAAAAGATCCCACATTCCCAGAAGATATTTTCCAACAATACAAGTCCGCTGCAGCTAATTACTCTCAAAAGTTGGGAAATGTTTCAGCTACGGCTATACTAGAAGCGCATAATACCGTTGCCCTCATGACACAGAAGATGAGCATGATAAGTGCTTGGGAGCAAATGTGTTTTATACAGGCTGAAATTTCTCGCATTCACCGATGGAAGATTTTCCAATTTCCAACCTCATCGGCAGAATCGGTACATCAGGCTTTGGGTATGACTGTTGAGCCTGCTGGAGATGCTCTACTATTATCAAAATGTCAAAGCCACACTACGTACGCTATAAACTATGCCGGTAAGATAGGCAATTTCTGCTTTGAGCACTTCCCTATCACTTTGCCAAATTCAAATATCACTTATTTTCTAGAGGTTAGCGACAGAAAGTTAATAAGGATCAGTCCTCGAATCCCTTGTAAACTCAGACCAAAACACACCTACCTGCAAGATCCAAAACTAAACACTATGTATGAAGTAACCGCCTTTGGGCGAGTTAAAATTGTAAAGACCCAACTAGATCATGTTTTACATTCATCAACCAAACCAATTCCTCGCATTCGAAGTTATAGCAAAGATATTGTAATCGATAAGCCACAACGGCTCTCGCCATATACTGTTTTACAATTAATATCTAGTTCCCATACAACTCTTCAGACGCTCAAAACTATCAGCGACACCAACGGTGGAGATGTCTTGAATGGTATTGGCACAGCTTTAGGAAGTGCCTCACAAGCCACCGCAAGTGGAGGAAGCCAGATCATTAAAGCCTTTGGGGGTGCTATAAAGGATTCATTGAATGGAGTTTCAGACTTAGATGAGAAGCTAGTCCGGTCAATTGGAGACGCTTCCTCATCGGTGTTAACAGCCGCCGGTGGAGCTGTGAAAGATGTTGGAGAAGGTGCAGGATCCTTCTTTCAGAAATTCCTTGGTGGTATAAGCGGATCCATTCTGTGGGCAGCAATACTTTTAATAGTAATATATTTAATCTTGAACAAGCCTAATTTAAATTATTCCCTGCCTTGCTTAAGATGTTTTCAAATACCATTGGTTAATGAAACTGTAGTACAGCCACGCCAGGATCAGTCCACGACAATGTCTCCTAGAGTAAAAGGACGTCACCCACGTATTTGCTCAGCTTGTAAGGTAGTTCATAGGGAGTAAAAAGAATACCGGTGAACGGTAATGGCAGGAATTAAATCTTGTATAATTCCTGGATGGAGATGTGAGACGCCTCCAACCACCACGAGTTTTCTGAAAAATGCAATTTTTCTGTTTTTCTTGCGCTGTGTTGCTGTTTGCAACAATGCTGTTTAGCAAAAAATTTTTACGATAACTACAATGAACTTTTATAGAGCTGTTTGGAACAAACGATGAGCTTGATGTGCAATGATGCTGTTTTCAATAATTTTTATGATGCTGTTTTATTACGATGAATTTTTATGGTGCTGATGTGCAATGATGCTGTTTCGCATTGATTTTTATGATGCTGTTTTATTACGATGAGTTTTTATGTTGCTGATGTGCAATAATGCTGTTTCGCAATGATTTTTATGATGCTGTTTTATTACGATGAATTTTTAAATTGCTGATGCTGTCTTTGATGATTTTTATGATGCTATTCTATTACGATGAATTTTTAAGTTGCTGATGTGCAATGATGCTGTTTCGTTTTCCGAGCTGTTGATTTTCCTTAACGAGATATTGGCGATTACCCGTTTGCTACTCACTTGAGACTATACTATTGTTGCTGTTTTGATGACACTTTTAAGTCCGAGGACGGACTTTTCGTTCGTCGTGAGTAATGTTATAAAGGTGGATTACTCAAGCGGAACGCTTGACTAATTCAAGTTTATTGAACCATATAGACGTGTAGCATAGACGCTAGCGTACCAAAACAATTTGTTTATGAACCTAAACGCATCTAGCGTTTAAACAAAACGTATAAAAACGTCAGTTAACAAACGTTCGTAGTTCTTGATCCAGTTCTTGATCCAGTTCTTGATCCAGTTCTTGATCCAGTTCTTGATCCAGTTCTTGATCCAGTTCTTGATCTAGTTCTTGATCCAGTTCTTGATCCGGTTCTTGATTGGGTTCTTGATTTGTGTTCTTGATTTTCTGGTTCTTAGTTCTGAGTTCGTTGTCCGAGGTAAGTGGTTGAAAGAGTCGAAGAAGCGATTGAAGTTGTTGAGGAGCCGAAGATAATAAAAAGATACCAGAAGATATAGTAAAACAAGTTGTATTATATTTATACGGTTTTATATAATATATCGGGACAATTGAAACTAGTATTTATATTTGTTATAAGTTGATACGAAGTGTTGTTTGGATTATCAGTAACTCGTAACATTTATTTATGCGTATTATCTAAAGCGTAGTAACTAAAGGACCATACGTAACAAACGTAAAGAGAGAAGATATATGAATAGTTAAAGTAGAGGGAGATATATGGATATAGAGATATATGAACATTTGGATATGATTATGTAACCTTTTTTATATAAACTTTCAGAATATAATTACTACGTAACGTTAGCAATTTAATCGTCATTTACTTACCGCGTTACAATATTAGTACAAGTTACGACGGACTGTTATACACCTTACAACGCTTGGATACGGTTTAGTTATTGTTTATACATAAACACTTGTAACATACCTCGTAACAGAACAATATATTTTTATTATTGAATGTAATTATTCAATTGTATTTATTATTCAATAAAATTACTATTAGTTATAGGCCAGATAAATGTTCGAGTTTCCAAGCATATAGTTCCCTGACCACATATAAATGTTCGATCTGTAGTTATATTGACCATATTATTGACCAACTGACAAGTAACAAAGGACAAGACGTATTACAATACCAAGCCCAAGACGGCCCGGTTACAACTAAAACACCGTTACACTACTCTATTATTAAATAATGACTATGCAGACAACACCGAGATACATATTCAACATCTAATACGTTTGCCGCGTAACACTAGAAAAGAAAATATTCAGAAGACTCAGACAAAAATAAAATTACACACATATGCGGCGGATACAAAAGTTGTGGGAGAGGGGTAAGAGGAGGGTAAACCTTAACTCCTGTTACCCTCTTCCCCTCCTTCCCCTAAGAAATGTCAAACTTCAAAACATTATTGAAAAATTGATAAAAGAAATAACAATACAAAAAATTGTTCTGCAGCTAACTATTTAAATTATTTAAAAAAAAAAAAAAAAAACTAAAGCGATTTCGTAGCTTAAAGGGACTACCATCTCCCGAGACATGTTGCGTTCATATTAAAGAGAATGTTAAAAAAAACGTCTGAGCAAATTTTTTTGATTAAAACTAATTATTAAATGAAAAAACCAAGAAAAACAAATCTTGTTGTTTTAGTAGAATTTCGTCTTCTCTGTTTTCTCTGGTATTAGTAATGTTTTTCCTAATTATATGTATTTTGGAATTGCTTTGCACCCTTCCTGTTAGCGTTGTTTCGTGGCTTAGCTATGATGCGTGTACATAGAGATTAAATTTAAATGTCGAAAAGATTATTAACAGATTTCCATCTTCAAAAAATAGAAAGGCTCAACTTTATATTGTAGATTGTTAAATTTTTTAAAATTCTTTATTTAAAAAAACATATTATTTTGTCTTTTGTTACCCATTACATACAGGGCCTATAAGATTTACCTATAGGCAGACAAAACTGCTTGTGCACCATAATTTTAGCGAGCTCAATTTTAAAATGGAGTATCATGAAAAAAAGTTTTTTTATAATTGACCCACTGCCCTCCTATCTCATATACGCCCTTTGTTTGTTTTTGCCACCTTGCACTGCATAACCTGCGGAATTACATGAGAAAATTACTTGCGTTTTTATATTTAGTAGGTAGCGCTTTAGTCTACTATGAAACATTTACAGAGCCTATAAAAAATGACTTTAATCAGCTCCAAGAGCAGTTCCTTTGCATTAGGATAACGAAGTTATCATAATGCAAAGTCTCGAAGCCAAACTTGACACATTACTCAACTCCCCCAGACAACCAATTGCGGCTGTTACCCAACACGAAATCCCCAATGCAAATAAGCGAATTAAGGAATTACAAGCCGGAGTAGAATCACTAAAAGGAATTCAGCAAACATCCAAACGGGAATGAAAGATTTAGACCAACTATACGTAACTTTTGTACAAGCAACAGACAAGTAATTTAAAAATCAAAACTACGCTAACAAAATGGAACTTTATCCAGATGCGGAAGACCTGTGCTCTGAGATTTGGTGGCAAACTTATTACGACTCTTTATTACGATAGATTAAAAACGGCTAATAGAACTCCACTTCAAATTGTAGGACAGTTTGGTAGCAATATCAATATTGGAACCAACTCATTTAAGCATCAATTTATGGTTGGTAAATATTTGACACATCTGTTAATTTTGGGCTATGATTCTATGCAACGATACAACGTAGGTCTTGACTGTGGTCAACACTTGGTAGAATTCGGAAAAAAATTCAGTATCCCAATGATTAAAGAAACAGTTGAAGTTAAGTTCACTACTCAAATTAACGTTGAAAACTCCAATATTGAGGATGATATCAAAAAACAATGCAGTAATCGGTCTCCCGCATTTGATCCCCATTAACGCTGAGCTCCAACAATAGCAGTACTGCAGGTATTCATTTTGAAAATAAACATCTGACGAATCTACCAATTATGACTGCCAAATTACACCAGAAAAAGAAAGTCAACCAGAATAAGAAAATAAATCTAAGCTTAACCAAAAGAAAACACTTCTGCCTCAACAAATATTAGAGAAGATAATATGCTTAAAAACGGATTTTTAGTTTGCGCCAAGTGGAGCATGAGAATAGCGCCAGAGCACAAAACTCACTATACATCACTCACGTTAGAATATCAAAGAAGTCATAAAAATATTGCGTATTAACATTAAAGTATTATATGCCAAAAATTTCACTATACATCTACACAATACACAATACTATACTCACTATACATCAAACAATGGAGTCAGATTCAGATTGCCTATTTGTACAAGAAACAATATTCTTTGAGGAAGATAATCTGCCACGAAGGTCTCAAACAAAACTACTCAAGCGGAACACTGAAGTTCAACGAAGCGTATAGTGTTTGGATAAACATTTCTTTTTCAATAAAACTGTTTACTAATCGTAGCCGCGTCTAGCGTCTGCTGAAGATATAAAAAAACGCGAAGAAGACGAGATATGACG